AAGTGAGCCTGTACTACTAGTACCACAGACGGCCCGAAAAAAGTATATACCGATAACATGTCTCTCCACAACGTATAAGTTGATCACGTCTGTACTGACGAACCGTACTTATTCCTTTTTCGAAACAAACAGCATTCTTCCGCTGGAACAGAAGGGATGTAGAAGAGGTTCATATGGCTGCAAAGATCAACTACTGATAAATAAGATGATCCTGGAAAATTGCAGGAGACGACGTAGAAATCTTAGCGCAGCGTGGATTGATTATCGTAAAGCCTTTGATAGTGTTCCACATTCTTGGATCCTTAAGACATGACGCCATTTCTAACCGTAGGTCCCTGGTTGGGAACCGGAAAGAAATGTGTAAACACCAGAAATCAAAGAAAATAAAATAATAATAATAATAATAATAATAATAAAGAATTGAGAATCTTGTATTAGGTTGCACAGTGTTAGTACCCACTGAATATAAAACTTGGCATGATACAAAATATGCAACTTTTACTGAAAGGAAACTGCAAGGAATTGGTATGAAAATTACACAGATACGGTTACAGAGATATAGAGCCTGTGACAATTTCATAGGACTTTAAAATTCTCAGAGACAGAATATCAAAGCTAATCGGCCAGACATCGTGATCAAAGAAAACAAAAACAGAATGTGCTTTCTGATTGACATGGCAGTCCCTAGTTGTAGTCTATCTTTGAAGATCTTCAAAAAAATTTATATATATATATATATATCAAAATACGAGGATCTTCAAATGGAAATCTCAAAAATGTCACACTATGAGGACATCAATAATTCCAGTTGTAGTTGCAGTCCTCGAATTGTTTGGAAAACGTTCCAAGAGATTCACTGAAGAGATTCTTGTAACCCATGCCTTAAAGAAATACAAAGGATTGTACTCATAGGTACAGATCACATATTACGAAGAGCTTTATTTATGTAAAATTTGTGTGATTTTATGCATTCATTTATTTATTATGATGAATGGAAAATGTCATGAAGTCATTTCTGGCCTTAGGTTTCTGGTTGGGACCAGAAACAAAAATGTATATAACAGGAATCAAAGGAAGTAACAACAGTAATAATAATGATAATGAAAAATAGCAAAGGCATGACAATTAGCCCCACTATCACACAAATGTTAATAATAATCTATGTTGATACAGCGGGCATGTTTCTCGTAGATTCTGGTCTTGAGTGATTTGAGGTGTTAATATGTACATATCTTTGCCTTGGCAAATTAAGATGGCTAGAGTAAATATACCATTTGTTGCACCAAATTCCCTTTTCAGTTGCCTGATGGGTAAGTTTCCTGGGGGCTGACGCACTGTCCATCTCCGATGGTGAGCGGGAGTAGCGGGGATTATTCAAAACGTGGAAATCACATCGAGATACACGGAAACATCTTCAGTTAAAGCTCTTCTGAACGGACTGGGCTGTTCGAACTGAATTTATTTCTAATTGGGCCTCCATCTGCAACGTTTCCGCGATGATATTATAAAAAAAAAGAAATACTGTCACCAAACCGCGCGCGTTTGGCTGTGATGCATGAGCCTGATATATCATTATTGGTCTGGGTGTCACAATGGATATATTCGGATTCGTATATTTTTACCCTTGCGTCACATTTTTTTTGACGTGCTGCTCTCCCCTTCAACAACAACAACAACAATGATAAAAATAATAATAGTAATAATAATAATAATAATAATAATAATTGAGAAATATGTACGACAAATACAAATCTTTTTATCGCATTTGTCTTATCTGTACTCATAGTTGCAAGTTATATGATTAAAGCTCCAAATATTATATATTTATGAGAGAGAAACAGGCAAAAAAGATAGGGGAGTAAAGGAACGTGTATCGGAAAAGATTGGTGAGAGTGTGGTGGATTATGAGTGCTGGGTGCGACTGAGTAGGGGGGTGAGGTGTAAATCAATTCAACTCCATTAAATCTTCTGTGCTTGGATTGTTTCCGAGTAAAAAGGAAAATGTGTTGTCGCCCAACTTTCACTTTAGCGAATAGGAGGAAGTGTGGCAGGGAGAGGCGAAACAAGAAAGATGAACGGATAAAAGGGTGGGTGTGGAGCAAGTCACGTGGTTTCAGAGTCCAATTATATCCATTCTTTGAGTTGGACTTTCAATCGCTAACTTCCTCTTTATTTCTTTTTTTTTTCTTCCTTCTTTCCTTTCTTCTTGCCGCCTGCATACTTCGCCTTGTCACAATTTCGCGTCCGTTCTGTCTTTTATTTTATTTTATTTTTTTTTTTCGTGTTCATCTTTTTCAAACCATGTGTGTGAAGAAAATGTTTGAGAATCTAGTTTGTATCGACTGAAGATTATAACCAAGAAGAAATTTATTTAAAAAAAAAACAAAATAAAAACGTTTAAACAAGGAACGTTTTTAAAGAATATGATCGAGTAACGGATGAGACGAGAAAAGACAAAGACGTAAAAAGTAAAAGAAAAAGAAAAAGAGAAAACACAAATTTTATAAATAAATAAGTAATGAATAAAACAATGGGAAGAAGAAGAAGAAGAAGAAGAAGAAGAAGAAGAAGAAGAAGAAGAAGAAGAAGAAGAAGAAGAAGAAATACAAGAAAAAGCTAAAGAAAGAAGAATCGAAAAGAAGAAGAAAAAAGGAATTTGAAAATGGGGAAGACGAAGAAGGAAAAGAAACTAGAATAGAAACACAAAAATTAAGAGAATGAAAAAGAAAATAATTAAAACAAAAAAAAAACGAAGTAAAACGTAAAATAAAGAAAAAGAAAAAGAAGATATTACAATAAAAAGATGACAGATAAAAGATTCAATAGAATTAGCGACAAAAAAAATTGTACAGTGTAACCCGGATATAAGAGACCCGGATATGAGAGAAACCCGGATATAAGAGAGATTTTATCTGGTCTCAAATTAGAAGCTGTGTTAATGAATATAAAATAGACCAAACCCGGATATAATAGAAACCCGGATATAAGAGACTTCTTCTCCGGTCCCGACAACTCTCTTACATCCGGGTTACACTGTATATTCAGAAAACTCCAAAACGTGATGCAAAAATCAGATGCAAAACTGTTCGCTATCAAGACTCAAACAAAAAGAACTGCAAACCAAATGTGCATGGTTGCGCAGAAGACACTTAAAAAGAGAAGCAAAATATCTTTAATGGTAGAACAGCATAAGTATATGAATACAAACTGCATTAAGGCCCAAATAACAAAACAACCATTTAATAAAAAAAAGACATAACCGTCTCCAGTATCGTATTCTTCAATGTATTAAAAATAAACGTCATTGCATGTGGCTGATAAAACTAACCATTGACTATTCTTCTTCTTTTATGTGCCGTTTCCCTACAGGACGTTGGCCAATCATTGCTTTCCACAATTTCCTATCCTTTGTAGATCTTAATAAATGTTGTCTTTTTTTGTATCTCTTCTAAACCCTGTTCTGCAATCCATTTACACATGGACTGTAGGTAGGGTATGCGTTGTTTTTCGCTGCCTCTCCTTTCCTCAATCTGTCCTTTGAGTATCAAGTTTTCCAAGCTTTCTTTCCTCATTATGCATTTTATAAACTTCAACTGTCTGTTTCTGATGTTAAGTATTAGTGACATTTTTGTTCTCATTTTATCTAAAACTTCGTTGTTGCTCATGTGTTTAGTCTATGGTATTCTCAGCATCGTTCTTTAGATCCACATTTCGGTTGCTTTAAGTTTCTTCATTTGTGAGGAGATTTTTCAGTGTTCACTACCATATAGGAGGACTGATATTACATAACTGTTCGATACTTTTTCTTTGTTTCTAACGAATTTTTTTCTGTTTCTTAATACTTTCTTTAATTCTTGGAAGGCATATTTCGCTATCAAAATGCGACTTCGGATTTCAGTGTCGAATTTTCCGTCTTTTGTTAAAAGCACTTCCCAGTGGTTCTAGGAACATTCACCGTAAGCATTTTTTGCCGTAGGGAAACTAGCCTCAGGAATTTTCGCCGTAGAAAACTTTGTCGTGTAGGCTTTTTGCCGTAATACAATTTCGCCGCATTTTTTTTTTTTAATATGCGAAGTACCTTGTGATCAAGTATATCTGGCTCACACTATTGAAATATTCCTTCAATTGAAATATTTTAATAAACGAAGTTATAGGATGCGCCCAAATTAGAGGAAACTAATTGCGTATTTGAAAAAGGAAGATACGTTATCAAAAAAGAAAAAGTGTGATTTAGATCAAGGAGATGCAGTGCAAATGAAGGATATATATATATATATATATATATATATATATATATATTAATATCAATGCAAGACTTCAGCAGAAAATGCTTCATTACATTCCAACACACACACACACACAAAAAAAACACATTATTTACGAAGCACTCCTTGGAATTTGCACACATTTTAAATTATTTCTCTGTTAATTTGATATATTTTTAGTCTCATATTTTTTTAAGTAAATATTTACTTTTTAATTTCTTTTCTTATGTTTGACCCTGTAAAAAAGACATCCATTTACAATTGACAACAAGGGAATTTCCATATTGAATTACCCCAAAAGGAACGTTGATGATAATGTTATCGAAAAAAAAAAACTGCGGCGAAATTGTCTTACGGCAAAAATCCTATACGGCGAAAATTGCTGAGTCGAGTTTTCCTATAACGAAAATACCTGAGGCGAGTTTTCCTATGGCGAAAATACCTGAGGCGAGTTTTCCTACAGCAAAAATGTTTACGACGAATGTTCCGTATACGATTCAAAATATACCTGCTTGATTAAGGTAGCTCCAATTTTGAATTTGCATGTTGGGCTCTTCCTTTTTCTGACAATCATTTGTTCTGTCTTCTGTCACTTGATGCTTAGTCCTTTCTTCTCGCCTTCATCCATTACTTTTTGTACTTCTTGGAGTTTCCATTCTGTATTTGCTATCAACTCGGCCGAAACTTTGCGACAATCACATCAAAGAGGAGAACAATAATCCGCATGTGGTTTAAGGTCACATCACGTTGAAGGGCCAGTTCTCGTACGATCACCGAAGTTAAGCAACGTCGAGCCTAGTCAGTACCTAGATGAGTGACCGCTTGGTAATACTAGGTGCTATAAGCGTCGATGTGCGGGCGGTGTAATGGATAACGGAATTGGTAATCGGAAATCCGGATTTCAGTTCCCCGTTGGGTTGGTTATCTTCACTTACGTGCAAATACGCTTGAGAGAAGTATGAATGTACCTATTCTACCCAACAATTATGGTTAATTAGTAAGACATGTATCACTAAACCGTTACTTATCCTCCTCCCCGCACCGCCCAAAAATATGATGTGTCTGCTATCAACACTGTGTTATTTGATATTCTTAATGATTTTCAGTGTTTCGATTCTTAAAAAAGCTACATAAACTCTACTGGTTTACTTTTCTTCTTTTTCCATTTTCTTATTCTACTGAAGTTGACTCTCATGTGAGTCGAAATTTGATTTCGAATATATTTTTTCTTCTGAAGCAGCCATGTTTTCAGAAGCTTATTTGCTGTCTGGATAGATGATAGGTGGGTTGAACAGACATAGAATGTCTAGCCGTTTAATAAAACATTTTAAAAGAACAATTGTACCAAGAATAATAAATCTCTCTTTGGTGGAGATAGAATGAAAAATGGCTTATAATCAGTGCATGGAACTCTAATTAAGTATTAACTTTCTCTTATATATATATATATATATATATATATATATATATATATATATATATATATATGTGATAATAATAATGAAAGAAGACTTTAGAAATCCATGGTAATAAATTATTTCACGGGATCAATCAGATCCCGTCTTTTCAGACCAAACAATTTTACAATAGATGAATCTAAAATTTATCCAGGTACAAGCGAAAAAATAAACAAAAAAAAACATTTTCAAACATAAGAGGGGAGATATAGGTTTTAAAATTAGGTTTTAATATGCAAAGAGAGAGAGAGTAGGGGATATATATATATATATATATATATATATATATATATATATACATCTCCCCTTTATTCTCTCTCTTTCCCTTCCCCGATATCTCTCTCTTTCCTCTCCTCCATATCTCTCTTTTTCTTTCCCTCTTTTCTTTCTCTCTTTTCCTTCCCCTATATTAAAATCTTATTGTAAAATCTATATCTTCCCCACTTATGTTTGAAAAAAAAAAATTCGCTTGTGTTTGGCTAAATTTATCTTTATTGTTGTAAAATTGTTTAGTCTGAAGAGACGGAATCTGATTGATCCCGTGAAATAAATTATTACCATATATATATATATATATATATATATATATATATATATATATATATATATATATCGATACTTCAAATATAAAAAACCGTTCGCCCTTGCATGGAGTATTGCTGCCATATATATATGGGTCTGGGGCACCTTCTGTCTATCTCGGAGTTCTTGACAAGATCCAATGGCGTCTCGTCTACAGTCACTCTCTCACAGTCGCACCGTCGCCTCTCTCTGTCTTTTCTACAAATACTTTCATGGTAATTGCTCTGATGAGCTACTTTCACTGGTCCCCAGACTCCATGAATGCAAGCACCCTACGAGGCTGGCATCCCGCTCCCACCCTTACACTGTAGAAACTTTTAAATGTAGCCGTCTCTTCTACTCCAATAGCTTCATACCTCGCACCTCTCGCCTGTGGAATACCCTTCCCAATTGCTGTTTCTCTGAGAGCTATAATCTCCAACTATTCAAATGTAATGTCAATCGACATCTTCAGTTACCTTGATCTACCCACTATCCTTCTCCTCATCCTTTCTTCTATCACTCCTATCTGCTCTCGCTTCAAATCTTTTGCAACCCCCTGCATCCTAGTGGCTTCACGCCTTGCTCGGGACGTAATGCTTAATATATATATATATATATATATATATATATATATATATATGAAGAAAGTAATGGATTTGTTTTGATTAACCCGATTATTTTTTACTTAAACGCTATTTTAGTGTATACTCGTATTTGAGTAAACGTCCCGTTTATTTATTAAACAGTATATTATTTTCGTCCAGCGGCCTGAATATTCGATAAATAATCAATACGTCTACAGAAATACGGGTATCCACTAAAAATAAAGTTTAAGTAAAAAAATAAATATGTGTGTTTATTTGTGTGTGTGTAGTTGTGCGTGCGTGTGTGTGCGCGCTTCGCCCGAATGAATTCGAAACGATTAATATCAGCTTTCTTATCATTTATGTTTCAGTATTAATTTAGTAAGAAGCCAATAAACTGAAATAGTCCGGTCGTATATTAATAATACGGAATTATATATAAACGTTATTTTTAATAAATACCCATATTTGAATAGATAATCTTTCGTTTGATTTATTAAACTGTATATTTATTTATTTTCACCTAACAACCTGCATATTGGAGAAATCTTAACAAATATATTAAAAATAACGTTTAAGCAATAAACACAAATATGTCGGAATAACTGAAAAATCCATTCACATATATATATATATATATATATATATATATATGTGTGTGTGTGTGTGAGACAGAGAGAGAGAGAAAGAGAGAGAGAGAGAGAGAGAGAGAAAGTTCCATTACATTAATAGACAAGGCAATATATTGATGGTTAGCAAGCTTGTCTCGCTAGAACAATTACGCCTGAATAGTGAGTTGGATTTTCATTTTGTGCTCCATAATTTCGGACTTATGCCACACATAAGCTACACTTAGAAAATTATCATTGATGTATGTTGTGGTAGGATCCACCTAATTTGCATAGTGGAGTACCGACCATATAAATATGGTTGGTACCGGGAAGAGAGGGAGGAATCAAGAGATTCAATCCAGAGACTCTGCCCGACTGCGACACAGTCAACACATTCTTCAGGAACGGTCTTACCAGGAATATACAAAAGACTATATGTAAATATTGTGTACACTTTCTTGTTTCAATACATTTTGTTCTAAGTACCTTTTGTGTTGCATTATTATTCCATGCATTAGTCAAGTTTCAACAATATACGATCGGGATGTTTCAGTTTATGATATCAGGGAAGATTGGTATGCTTTGCTTAAGTAGTAATATGTCTGGGAGAAGGAAAACTGTACAAAAAACCCTCAGTACATTATGAATATCTTCAGGAGAAGAGAAAGCTATTGTGTAAAACCTATATAATTCCAGGCTCGAAACTCAAAAGCAGATAGATAGTTTACTGGTTCACCAGATAGCAATGTCTACAGCTTCTCCGTTACCAAAATCAATAACTTTATTCTTCTATTTGAATTCTACTAGTAACGTCTAAATGGTGACGTTAATAATAATATCATCCGTTTCCCTACAAGGAAATATTTGGCATTTATTGACCGAGCAGACAGTACTACTTTTGGTTGGAATTTATAAAATATTTCTCTTAAAAAAATTCTTAGGCAAACAGTCTCCTCTTGTCTAATAGTTGCTATCGATCTTTCCAGTATTGATGTGGGGGCCTGCTTCATAGTATAGGGAAATTAGTTGCATTCCGAATTCAAGGACTCGTGTAAAACATAACTGACCAATGAAAATCAAACAACGTCCAATTTTTTTTCTCCGTATCTCATTCTCTGACGAAGCGTTAATAAAGGTGAAAGATGTTACATTGATAAACCTTTCCTATTTTTTATTTATCTCATCGTTATTCCCAACACGAACACACACACACACACACAGACACACACACATATATATATTTAAACGCACACACACATACATACACAAATACATAGATAGATAGATAGATAGATAGATAGATAGATAGATAGATAGATAGAGAGACAGCAAATATATAGACAGGCAGAAATATGTAAACAAACATCGACAAATATATCGACAGATATAGTCAGAAATAGACAGAAAGTCATAGATAGATAGATAGATAGATAGATAGATAGATAGTAGAGAGAGATGATAGATAATTATAACAGGGGTGATAGATAGATAGATAGATAGATAGATAGATAGATAGATAGATAGATAGATAGATAGATGGTGGAGTAGTGGATAGCGGCTCGGATTGAAGAATCGGAGATCCGAGTTAGAATTCCAGTCGACTCCATTATATTCACTTACGTGCATACACCCTTGGGAAAGGGTATTAATCCTCTTCTTTCACCCCTGCTACGGATAAATTGCAGAACAGACTGTGATCTATGCGATGGCAACTGGTCTAGGAGAAGGCCAACTCTGAATTCAAAACCTGCGGAGGGTCGTTTGGGGACCTTGTGGTAAGTCTGTATTCGGCCTTTCAAAAAGTGTGGTTGGTTCTGTACAAAGTCTTCACCATATAATCAAATCATATGTGCTGTTGTCTGGGCTGTCTGTTCCTAGGAACTGAGCTGCTTGAACCTCATACGTCGAATACGATGGGAGAGTCCACCATATGTAAATGCTATTATGCTGTATGGATATGAGTTTGTGATCTTAAGTTTCACGCTTTTGCGACAGACAAACTGGTTTATTTTTTTTTAAATTGTATCTATTTATGTTTGTTTGTGTTTGATTATGTTTGGTGGTGGGAGGGGAAATTTTCCTCTGTGTCCGTTTGGGGTGACACTCTCACACACAATTGCCTATGTATGTATGCTCGAACGCATGGGTGTGTATTTCCACCTAATCTCGAATTGTTTACATGGGTGTGTTTGTGTGAACTGAAATGCTTACACCTGTATGTATGTATGTGTGTATGAGAGTGTCAACCCCAACGGACACAGAGGAAAATTCCCCCCTCCCACCACCAAACATATTCACTCACAAACAAGCATAGATGCAATTTTAAAAATATAAACCAGTTTGTCTGATGATCGCAAAAGCGGGAATCACATATCCATACAACTAAATATGTTAGCTCTATCATTGATATTGAGCCCTTTCCAATAAGCACTGCACATATAAAATAATATATAGTTAAATTCCCAGATCAATTCTGTGGAAAAGACAGATTGGTTTATACCAATCTTTCTTGTCCACAGAATTGATCTGGGAATTTAACTATATTGTCAACATGGAAAAAAAAATTCCCTTACTATAAATTAACCAGAAAAAAAGGCTTGGACAGAAATGTCTATCTTTTTAAATTT